TGCGGGCTCTATTTATTTATTCCTGTACGTGTGATTATTTTTCTTGCTTTGGGGATAGGGGTTATGGGTGCGGGTGTGTTTGCGGCGCCCACGTGCTCAGCCCGCTCTCCTCCTCCCCCCAAGGCGACACCCCCCTCATTCTACCAGGCGCGGCCCCGCAGGGACAAGGCTGTGCCCTTTCCCCTGACCCCACAGCCCAGATCAGGATGCGGGACCGGAACCGTCTTTTTCTTATTAAACAATCCAACGCAGAACAAAAAAGCCCGGACCCCTGAAGGGTCAAGGATTCAGAAAGTGAAACCAATAAGCCGTTCCGCGGACCGCGGGCTCCCAGAGGGGCGGGTGTGAGTAAATGCGTGTGCGCACCTGTGCAGTGGGTGTGTGCTGCACGTCGTGTCTGGGTGACGCGGCTGGGGACGTGCTCCGGGTGTTGCGTAGCTGCCTGTGGAGTGTGCACTGGCTGCTGGGTTATGAGCGTCTGTGTCCGGTGTGGGTTTGTGGTGTGCGTGTGCTCTGTACGATGTCGCGTGTGCCCGCGTACACACCCGCTTCGTCCGTGCCCGCTAGAGGAACGTTCTCACTCCCGCTACGTCCTACCCCCGGCTTCTACCCGGGAGCGGGCGATGGCGACCTCGGCGGAACCCCCCAGTTTCCGTGCCAGGGTCTGCAAAACCCGGCCGAGCTGCCTTCGTTCGGGGCGCGGCGAGTTCGTTGCAGCCGGGTTGCCCTCGGCGCGCCCCGCGTGCCCCCCACCCCCACCGCGTCCCAGGACTTCTAGCTCCGCGTCCTCGAAGTAGGTCCCGCCGGGCTCAAGGCGCGACTCCTCCCCAGGCGCTCCGGGTCCGCTGCCCGAACACCCGCCCAGAAGCCCCGCTGTCTGCGCGGGAGCCCCGCACCCACATGCTCCCCCACCCCGGGCCTTTCCTGGCTCCCTCGTTCGGCGAGTCCAGCTCCCTCGAGCAGGGCAGCGCCTCCACCGCACCTTCGAAACCACCCCGTTTTTGGTGAATCATTTTCTTTTGGGAGGGGGCGTACTTGATCCAAGAGTGGTTCGTAGTTTTGTTTTGTCTCCACCGAGCTCGGTGATGTCGCGTGTGTGCGTACTTGAAACGTCCGGGTCAGTCCCAAATTGAAGGCTTCCTAGCGCGGAGGCCGACATTTGGAAGAGAAGCAGAGACAACACGGGAAGTGTTGCTGAAGGCGGTGCCCGAGACCCTCGTGGGGAGCCCTCCCGCCTAGCGGTGTCCGGATCTCGCGGCGGTGCTGACCCCAAGGACCCTCCCCTCCTCCTCCCCCGGGAGACGCTCCAAGGCCCGGCGCCCGTGGCGGAGAAAACTCCGGGGGGAGCGTAGAGGCGAACGCCAAGAGAGCGCAGGCTGGCCTCCAGGCAACCTCAGTAACCAGCCCGCCGCCCCGCGTGCGCTCATTAACTGCTCCATCGGAAAGCAGAAAAGGGACGCGATAATTCGAAATTTCAGGGAAAGCGAAATCGGAGGTGGGGAAACGCGGGCCTCTGCAGACTGCCTGCTCCTTCCGCGGGACTCGCCGAATGTGGGGGCTTGAACCCGCACAGCGCACCGGGCCGGAGAGGAAAGAGGATTCCTTCCATTCCACCCCCAATCCGAATTGTTCACCAAGTTTCCCCAAACCGAGATACTACGAAAGGCCCGCCAAATCGGGCTTAAATTTCCGATTTAAGAACAGACAAAAACTAAGGTCAAATTTCGTTTGCCGACTGTGGGCGGGTGGAAGAAGAAGGGGCACGGATAAGCCCGGCCTGGCCGCGGAGCGCGGTCTCTGTTCACCTGGACGGACCCGCACAGCCGCGGTGCGGGAGGTCGGCACGGGTTACAGACCCCGGCGCCGGCTCCAGCAGTGAAGGCCCAGCCTTTGCTCAGGAGCTTGCGGGCCGCGCGGTGCCGCGGTGCCGGTATGGCGCCCAGGGGCAGTGCGGAGGACCCGGCGCACCCACCACGTGTTCAGGGCACCGGAAGGGACACTGGTTCGGATGGAGTTCCACGCTTCAAGGGAGAATTCGCACTTGGGATGACTTGGAGCAAGACATACATCCCACCCCTGCGGGTGATTAATCTGCCGAGGGGATTGTATTTGCCCGGTTATCTGCGAAGAACCTGCAAAGCGCCGTGCACCACGCGGACCTCTGAGGTCCGGTAGCCGCTCGGAGGTGACTCCCGAGACCGCCGAGGCGCGGTGTCCCCATCTCAGGACTGTGCCGTCGTCTCCTGCGAGGCCCTTTCGCTACCAGAGAGGACCTGCGGAAGACAGCTGGGAGAGCCACTTCTGGCTCTGTGACAAGCTAGAGGCTGAGATAGTGGTAGTGACAAAAAAGAGTTCGTTTTGGTTTTCCTTCCCCTTCTTCTCAGTTTCCTTATGTTTGGGGATTTTTGTTGTTGTTGTTTTTGCAGTTCATTCTAAAGCAAATGACCAAAGCTTGGAGTTCTTAAGTACAGCTCCCTCCTTTTATACCTTTTGGAGAAAATGAGTCTCAGAAATGACCCAGTGACCCAGCCTATCCCAGCCAGCAAACGAGCTTGAGCTGGAATGGGAGGGAACTCAGGCCTCAGGCCTCTCAGGGGCCTCTGAGGCCAGTCCTCCCTCCCCTCTGATCAAACACACACTCACAGTCCTTAGTCCCCAGCCCTATCCCTTCCACCTTTCCTGACCGCACCCCACCCCCTCCTTCCCCAGGAGGGTGAGATGTGGCACCTGAGAGAGGGGACTCCTCCTTGAGGAGGTTTCCCAATCAGGTACCCACCCACCCCCCAGCCCTGCACCCGCCAGCATTTGGAAGAGGAAGCCCTGAAAAGGGGGGTGATGCTGGAGAGAGACAGGTTTCCTCATTTGAAAACCAGGGGTAACAACAGTACCGACTTCACAGGTTTTTTTGGTAAAGATATACAAGGACTGGAAGTTGTGAGTGTTTTATAAATTCAAAAGGGCTGCAGGGGGTTCCCTACTGCTGAGTGGGGGGTGAAGATCCTGCATAAGTTCAGCAAAGACCCCTGAGAATTTAAAGAGGGCTCACTAGGGGTGTCCTGGCTTTGGAGGTGGCCTAGGACAGAGGCCTGCTGGAAAACCCACACTGCCCTTTCCTGCTAGGTCCAGCAAGAAAAGATCCCGAGTACATGGCCCAGGAGGAAGTGTGCCTCTATTCACCCTTTCTGTTCCATCTCAAGAGCACCTCCTTTGTGAAGCCTTCCCTGCCAGCCAGCCCTACTCCAAACAGCATTCTCTTCCTTGGGTGCACCCTGAGCCGCTGTCCTTGGAATCCGCCATAGCTTCGGGCACTGCTGTGTGGCTTCCTCCCTCCAGAGGAAGATAATGGTGGCAGAAAGGAAGCTTTGAAAGAATGAATCCTTGTAAGTTTATAGCCCCAATTATAAGGAGGTGGTAGAACAGCAGAGTTGGTTAAGAAAGATCGCATGTGAATATGCCTGTTGGAGTTGCATGCTCAAGTGAGAGGCGTGTGTGCAGGTACGGTGAGGACCGGTGGCTTTGGTGATGCACCCGTCTGTCCCCTACCGTGAAGTAGCCTAGGTGTGTGTGGACAGGGTGGGTGCATGTGCCTATGTGTTTATGTGCTTGGACTTTGTTTTCTCAAGTGTATGTACCAGCAAGTCAACATGTATAGTTGTGCATCTGTGTAGGAGACAAGTACAGTGCTTTTATTCGGTGATGTTACTATTCATCTTTGGGTATACATCACAGTCTATACTCTGTATTTGCAGATCCATAAGGGAAACGGACGTCTGTTTTATTGGTATATGCGAGTGCATGTGTTGAATTTGGATGGAGTCTCCAAGAAGTTGTGTACTTGTGGTTGTAGATTCTTGCACAGGTGGACAGCTGTCCACCAAGGTCTTGGGCACTAACGTTTACAGGCGGGTGCTGCACAGACTGAAGATGCGGCCACCGAGCTGGGCCTTCTGTATTTCCTACGCCCTCTGAGGAGCCAGCAAACTGGACTAGCCTCCCACTCCCGGACTTTGTTCCAGTTTGTGAACGGCTTCAGCCGGATGCAGGGCCAGAGGAAAGGCAGGACGTCACAGAGGCAGAAGCCCAGTCTGCGGATCCCTCCAGCGGCCTCGGGGGCCAGCAGGAGCTGCGGTGACGGGCCACCCCCGGAAGCGGAAGCCAGGATTGGGGTGGGGGAGAGGCGAGGCGCCGTCGCTGCGGTCGCGGCCGGCTCTGCCCAGGGCACCCCGCGGGGGCGTGCGATCCGCGTGCGTGCGGGGCAGGCTGGGCGCCAGCCGGTCCCTCCCCTGACCCGGCGTCTGTTTACCAACAAACTGCCGGCGCTCGGCAGCGACGCATTCCGACGCGTTGAATAAGCTTCCCGCGCTGGCGGTCTGGTCTCTACTCCCTTGCAGGTTCGTGACGGCGGGGTAGGAACCGCGGGTCAGATTCCGAGGGTGGGAGAGCAAGCCGCAGGTTCCCTGCGCCCCCGCCGACGCAGCGCTCAGCCACTGAGTTGCTTCCCTTGCCCCTCGGACATCAAAGTCCCGCCAACACCCTGCGTTTCTGCCGTCAAGACCGAGGAGCTCCCAGGCTAACCCAAACGCCCTGCAACCCAGCACCCTCTCGGCGAGGACCCCGAGATAGCCGGGCCGAAAGCGCGAGCCCCGCCCCCGCCGCATCTGCACTTCCCTACCTAGGGCTGCCCCGGTGGGGCGGGCCCTGGCTGCAGGCCTCCGTGAGGTTACTGCGTGCCGTGGCCAATCCCGGGCGTCTAAGTGGGCGGGGCACCCCCGTCGGGTCCCGGGAACCATACCCAAAAACTAGAAGAGGGGGGCCCCCATGGATTTAGGGGGGAGGGGAAAAGCCATGGGGGCACCCCCCGGAACCCCTCTCCCAGGCGCGCTTTTCGCTGGAAGAGGCGCAGAGAGACACCCTCCCCGGGATCTTACGTGTGAGGGAGGCTAAGTGGGGGATCTTTCCGCCCCAGCGCCCGAGGCTTGGAAAAGAGAGTTGGCAGAGAGAGCGGACTACGTGCCGTGCCGGGCCATGGCCTAGGCCCTTCTGCCCGGCCCCGGCCGCAATGTCCTCTTTGCCCTGCCCCCTCCCTGGCAGGGACGCTTCCAAAGCCGTCTTCCCGGACATCGCCCCCGTGCCATCTGCAGTGGCTCCCTACCCTCTAGGCCTGTCCCCCGCAACCGCAGCCGCCTCCGATTTGCCCTACTCTGGGCCATACGGCCACCTCCTGCCCTATCCCTACACCGGGCCGGCGACGCCCTCAGACGCTTACCTACCTGGCCAGCAACCTACGGCGCCCTCTCAGCCCTCTCAGCAGGAGCGGGAAGCAGGTACGTACGGCCACCGCGGCTTTTCCCACCTCGGGGACTCATGCTCCTGTGCGCCCCTAAACTTCGCCCTTGCCTGGTTGGGCGCAGCTAGCGGGATTCAGACCTTACTCAGATTCCACGGGATCTGGGGGTGGGGGGAGGGCAAATGGATGGGGCGGGAGACAGGGGGGAGGGGCGGGGGCGAGTTGATCTAGGTCTCGTTTCAAGACCGACCTGGTTTTGATTTTCGGTTGTGTGAAGCCGGGTAGCGAGCGGGGCTCCCTATCCCACCCCCTGGAGCACCGAGGTTGTGTCCCTCCGTGTAACGGAAAACTGAAAGAACCCAGATGTGGGTGTGGGTACCTACCCCTTGCCCAGGATTCTCTCCGTCGTGCTCACCCCCTCCCCGCGGCGCCTCTCTCCGCTGTTTTATCTCAGCAAACAGTGCTCAAGCCAGAGACTGAAAACTAGAAATCAGGTCCCGGCTGGAGGACAGCAGACATGGGGTGTACTGGGGACCCCTTCCCCTCTCCCCACCCCACCCCTACAGTGCCCAGAGTGACTGCGACTGGAGGCTGTACTGAGAGAATCCGGGGCTAGGACTTCATCATCCATTGTTCTAAGGATGTAGGCACTTGTGGGCCAATCTCTCATTGTGGACACCAACCATTCCTGTCATCTCTGCCCCTTGCCTTTGGGGGACCTTAGGCCACAGTTCCCACTGCCTGGAGCCACGCTGAGCTCCTGAGAAAGTGCCCACTGGAGGCCATCCAAGAAGCCAGGGAGCAAGCCTGTCCCCCTGGCTCTGGGCCTGCGTGGGCAGAACCCACGCAGCACTCCGCATATACCCCCTGTATCAGCTCCTGCTTAGAACTCAGGTCCCCTGCACTCCCTGCCCCCACCTGATGGCCCCCCAAGTTGTCTTCGGCACTTTCCTCCAAGGTTGCGCATCCGCTGGGTGACTTCACTGGGGTCAGTCCAGGACCAAGACATCGCCCTGCCTTCTGTCACTGGGCTGAGACTCAGGAGTTCATTCACATCTGAGCCAGGGGTGACCCTAGACATTTGGGAGCTCAGTCTCCTTGATGTCCAGGTGAGCACACTGAGGCCTGAAGAAGTGTGCAGGGGCAAAGGAGACAGCCTGCTTTCCAGGCTCTGGGCCCTTGCAAATGGGCTCTTCACCACGTACGGCCAGAAAGAAGGATGTTGAGGGAACTTCCTCAGAGCCCCCACCGAGCTAACTGCCTCCTGTGCCAGAACTGGGGCTGCCCCTCCTAGGCTGCCGAGCCTGTTGTTGGGGGAGGAACAGTCGCCTACACCTGATCCCATTTCTACAGACAATTCCTTGGACCCTTCCAGTGCAGGCCGACGTGGTACATTTGCGTGTGAGTGTGAGGCGGGGAGGGGCAGGAGTAAGATAACCCTGTCCTTAAGGTAACTGGTGGGAATGGGGGTGGGGCTTTCAGCCGAGCCCGCCACCTCCCTGCTTCCTTTTGCTTTGTTTAGGGACAAGAGAGTGGAGCGTTCCTTTTCTTTATGGAATTTCCCGGACGCTACAAAAACCACACACACCCTTAAACTAGATTGTTGCATTTTCCTACTGAAACTGGTGGATTTGGCTTACTCTGTTTAGATTGAATGAATAGTTGGGGTATGAGAGAGGGCTCGGGGATCCTCCTTTTGCCCCCACTCCATGTCCCCCCACCCCCACCCTCACCCCCACCACAGGGGAAGGTTTGGCTCCAAGTAAGCTAACTAGGTGCCATCACGCGGTTGAGCAGGCAGGGACCGGCGCCTTCAGGGAGGACCTCGGGCTTCGTAGTGGCGACCGGGGCAGATCCTGCCGTGACGCTGCAGGCAGCTGTCAGCGAAGGCCTTGGCAGGGGTCTGCTGGGAGAGGTAGGGCTCAGAACTGTGAAAGTCAGGAGCCCCGGCTGCCTCCCAGGCTCTCCTTGCGTCACCCTTTGAAATGACCGGTCCACACAGACAGAGAGACGCGGGTGGTTGCTCAGCCGCCAGCCCAAGGCTTGGAGCAGTAGTGTGGGAGCAGGGAAGGCTGGACAGGCGCGGGCGGAGCGGAAACCCAGGGTTTTTCTGGGAATTGGCTGAGGTGGGGGTCGAGGAGGGTGGATCTGAGAAGCCCTAAGCGCTTCTGGCCACGGGTGAGGGATGCGGGGGTGGTCACCACCACTGCCGGCCAGGGAACCTGACATGTGGGGTGAACCAGAGGGATGAAGGCCTAGGGGGACAAGGATGGGCCCCAGCCATCTGGGCACTGGGGCCAAGCACCCTTTTTGCTAGGACGGCCGGCAGACCTGCATGGAATGCAACAAGCATGGCCCTAAGCTCAGGGACATCTGGCCACTCAGTCCACTCAAGCCCTACCGTCTGCATGGAATGGTCTCCGTGTCCCGATGCAGCGGCGCAGGTTGAGGCTGCCGGGATCGGAAGTGGAGAACTCTCCTCCTTCTATGGCCGGGTCAGCTGCCAGCCCGAGATTGTTTGGGAGGCTGAGCCCAAGGGCAGGAGGTGACCAGATCTACCGCGCGCAACCCGGGAGCGGCCGGGAGGGCCTGCGCGGCTCTCGGTTGCTCGCTGTCAGTAACTGGGTCACCTTCCTTACCAGCCGAGAACCCGTTTGTGAGTTCGGCAGGGCGCCCCTGAGAGCCTCCTCTTCTAGCCAGCCGGCCAAGGGGGAGGGAAGAGATGGTCACTTTTCCTGCAGTGCGTTCCTCGGGAGCCGCGCGGCCCCTTCTCACAGCAGGGGAGGCACGGCCAACCCTGGGGCACTTTCGACACTCCGATCCTGGGAGGGGTGTTCATCCTGGCGTTCAAGGCCAGCTAGGCGGAGCCCCTCCGACCCACTCCTCTTCCGGCAGCGGGGAGGCTGCCACGCAGACGCTGTAACGTTCCTAAAAGCTTTGCTAGTGTGTTCCCTCCGCCTGTGTTCCCTTCCCCCCATCCTCTCCAGGTCTCGGCCCAGCCCACGACCGAGCCTTTCGGCCCCACCCCGCCCTGTCCCGCCCCATCCCAAGCTGGCGCCACCGCACCCGGCTGAACTTTGACCTTCCGTCGCTTTTTGTTGCCTTTTTTTTTTACCTACCCTTGTTCTGGCCCTAGCAGCTTTCTTTCTAGGGTCACAGGGCCCATAGGAGTGGGAGCTCCCTGAGGGCAAGAACTGCGTTTTGTCCCACCTAGAGTACAGTGGACTTGAGGTTTGAAACGGCCGTGGAGCGGAAGGTAGAGTGTCGGCCTGGTGCTGGCGCTTTTTGCTAATCCGAGGCCAGCATGTAAATGAGATGCAAATGAGCCTATAAAGTAGCAAGCCCGACCACCCTCCATCCTATGCTGTTCCTCAGATGCAGAGAAGCCGTCGCTATCCCCGGAGCCCTTGGAGCGGCTCCCGCAGGCCCCGACCAAAAAGCTGCGCAAGCCTAGGACCATCTACTCGAGCCTGCAGCTGCAGCACCTAAACAAGCGTTTCCAGCACACGCAGTACCTGGCGCTGCCTGAGAGGGCCCAGTTGGCTGCACAGCTCGGCCTCACCCAGACCCAGGTGGGGCCAGTCCCGCTCTTCCTGCATGTTAGCCACCCCTAAGTGTGTTCTCTGGGAACTCCGTCCCCCCCCCCCCCCGCCGCACCCCGGCCCTCCGACGCCAGCCCCCAGGTGGGAATGACAGCTGAGGCCTCCAGCCTGGTTGTCATAGTTCTTCAGGGTGTGCTCATTGCTGGCCCTCAGTAAGTTGGGGGAATGTATTTTTGAGAGGTGTTGTGGGGGGTAGGTTTAGGTAGAAGAGGGTACCCACACTGGGAGAGCTCAGAGGTGGGAACTCAGGGGCTTCCAGGGCTGTGGAGGACCGGAGCAAGGGCTCCCAACTGCCTCTTCTCCCAGGGTTGCCCCCGACTGCTGGGCCCCTTCACTTTGGCCACATCTCCCACACATGCTCCACCTGATCTTCAATTCTTTTTCCCCCTCTTCTCTCCGAAGGTAAAGATCTGGTTTCAGAATAAACGTTCCAAATACAAGAAGCTCCTGAAGCAGAACTCCGGGGGACAGGAAGGGGAGTTGCTTAGTAGGCCCCTCTCCCTGTCTCCCTGCTCCACACCCCTGCCATCCCTCTGGGATCTACCCAAGGCAGGGGCCCTGCCTACTGGGGGCTATGGCAATAGCCTTGGAGCCTGGTATCAGCATCACTCCCCGGACGTTCTGGTTCCGCCTCAGTTGATGTGAGCCTGGGCATGGGTAGGTCAGTCCCCCAGCCCTCCTACAAAGCCCAGGACCCAGCCCACCTGCACCCCTTCTGGGCCTGGGGGACACCAGCTCCAGATGGGTTTTCTCAGGATGATGGGGAGAAAAAAGGGTAGTATGGAGCCCTGTTCCCTTTGCCCCATAACCCAGACAGCCTAATAAAAAACTTTGGTCTTAGCTACTGCCCCCCACCACTACCATGGACGGTACACCTTCCCTCCAGCTGGTCAAAGGCTCTGGGGAGAGTCATTGGCTGGAGTTCAGGCTGTTGCCAGGACCCCTGGTCTTGCCACCCCTTCTTTGAAAGGATAACAGTTCCATCATAGCCTGGGGCCAAAACCAGCAAGAAACACTGAATGTTTTTCCTCTGTGTGCCTTGGGTCTTGCCCAACCCATTTGCGGAGCGAGAACGGAAGTGAAGTATGTATCCAGTCTTCCAATGGACGGCCATGAGGCCCCACCCACCGATTGTTCCTGGAGGTCAGTCCGTCACCCCATAACTGATACACCTACTTACCCTCCTGTGAGGGAGGGGAATGCTGAAAATGTGGAGTTTGTAGACCTCTGAGTAATTTATGTTCTCTTCCTTAAAAAGCCCTCTTTTCCCCATCTACCATTTTGAGTAGGCAGTGGATCCAATTATCCTTATAATTCAATGGCTACTTATTAATTACCCCCCACAATACATAACAACCCACATGTACATACTCTTGGGAAACACAGTAGGGTAACATTTTGGGCAAAAAGGGGACAAATAGGCTCTCTAGATGAGTGTAAGTAGAGACACCCCAAATAGGTGGGGCGGGCCCAACAATTCGGCTTTTTATGGTTGTCTCTCTCTAAATGAAATACTCCCGCATTTAACCAGTTGGACTAGCATCCCCAATCTCTTACCGCCCCCTCATGCTGTGAGCTTCCAGAGATTAAAGTTTGTACAAAAACCCGGGCCCTGGCTTGGAGGTGTGTTTGTTTCCTGATTTCTGGGGCTGGCCACTCATGTCCCTTCTCCACCATCTCACTCTTCCAGCCCCGAACTACGGACACGAGAGCCTAGAGTTGTGCCCCTTCCGCTAACTAGCTTTGTGGTTCTAGCTCTAGAATGTTTCAGCAACGCCCGTATTTTCACAATGCTCTAGTATGAAACTAGAAGATGCTAATGCTGGCAATGACCAAAGTCTGAATACCCCTCACCAGCAAAGTCTCTCCTGGTCCAGTTCTGGAAGGAGTGGGGTGCCACAGGGCCTCCGGTGCCCCACCTTTAGCCCAGGGAGGGTGCCTGCTCACCTTGGGAGAGGACGTGCCCACTGGGCCAGTCCGGTCCGCCCCTGAGAGAAGTGTGCTTCTGGGGGATGGAAAGGCCCCAGCCCACCTACGGGAAGGGGGAGGACGAGGCAGAGGAGAAGAACGCCCTGGAAGGAACTGGACTTCTCCGTCCAGCAAACATTTATGGAAATGCGACTCGTGTTGGGCTGTCCAATTAATCTCCCCTTTGGAGGCTTTCCGAGTTTAGAGTCTACCTCTGCTCTGTTAGCTCTTCAGATACCAAGGTGCCTTAGACAGACCCTGCAGGCTAACAGGGGAGCCAGACGAGTGGCCAGCCACCATGTGGTGCCAGGCTCAGGGAGGTAGAGAGGGCAGTGCGGGCAGACTCAGGGGGTTCCAACTAGGCCTTAGGGCCCCCCATCCCACTGCTCACACAGCACCCAGCCACAGAGGGGCTGAGGACAAAGGCAGACTATAATTCAGGGAATCCAACCCAGCTTGACTGGAGGTTTGGGGGAGGGGCCTCCAAGTCCAGGTAAAAAGCTCCCAAAGCCAGCTTTCCTCTTACTGCCTAAACCTGTTCCCAGGCACTCCTGGCCCACCCTGTCTGGAAAGACCACTCGGGCCCCTGGAGCCGACCCAGCTGGCACAGAAAGGGCCAGATTGGAGTTGTGTGGAGAGTAAGGGAGTGTGCAATTCGGTGGAAGCCCCCCCCCACCGCCCCCACCACCTCAGGAGAGGGCCTGCAATTCGTCCCTCTGAGACCCTGTTCTGGGTCGGTGGCCACCCCCACTTCTGTAAACACACACGGAGGGTTCTCCTGGGGAGGGCAAGTGGCACGGGGCCAGCAAAAGCCAAGATCCAGGAGCAGCGAAGAGTGAGGGAGCCAAGAGGACAAACCTCCCCTTCCTCTTCCTCTTCCTCCCCACCGAGGCTTCCCCCACCCCTGGCTACCCCTCTCTACTGGCCGTCAGTGGCCCTGGCCCCAGAACCCTCCTCTGGGTCTTCTGTGAGGCCACAGGCCCGCAGGGCTGCTGTTCCCTCCCACTCCAGGTTGCACACTCCTCCTCTTTCCACAGACCCATGATAAGATCTACCACCCCATCTCGGAAAGCCTCCAAAGGCGAGATTAATTGGACAGCCCAACACGAGTCGCATGGTTAAAACAACAGCCCAGGTTGTAAAGTTAAGTAGCAGGAGTGTAATTGCTCTCCTAGCCAGAGGCCAGCTGAGCTGACAGCATCTCCCCCTTTTCTACCCCATCCACTCACTGCTTCCAGGGGGAGTGGGATTCCTTTTCTACCTGGGAACTGGTTCAGTTTCCTTGAGCTCCTGGGTAATGATGGGACTGGAGCCCCAGCAGAGCCGGAGCCACCTTCTCCTTCCCTCCAGCCCTGTGAGTTGTAGAAGAGGAGCCTTTGGTTTCTTCCCACGGGGACACCCCTCTGGGAAAATTGGGTCAGTAAGGGAGGGAGAACGAGAGTGGTTAAGAATGGGGACTTTGGCCTCCAAAGAGTCCCAGCCTACGGTGTGACTTTTGCCAGGTGATTTCACCTCTCTGAGCCTCATCCCCCCACCCCCCACCCCAAGATGGGACTACTAATGGGACCTGCTTCACAGTGCATCTGTGATGATTCAATGAGAGTACTTGTAACGCTGTGTGCCTGGAACATAGTAAGCACTTAATAGATGCCATTTATAGCTGCCGTGTGATTATCAGGGAGGAGGGGTCACAGTGCGAGTCCCCACTGCCACTGCCATCAATTCGCCTCTCCCCTCTGGCCTGTCTGCCTCCCGAGGGGAGGGAGGAGCGGGGAGAACTCCACACATCCCTGGTCCCTAACACTGGGGAGCAGGCCCCAGGCAAGGCCTCGAAGGCCCTGGGCCTGGAGAGTCGTCTGAGACCGGAAGATGGAAACAGGGAGACCAGGGCACATTTTCGGGGTCTCAGCCACAGGAAAGCTGACTCCAGGCTTCCCTTCCCTCTCCCCCTGTGCTATTTTAAGATGTGCCCCCCACTCTCTCCCCCAACAAAATGAGATTCAATTAATTCAATTAAAGCAATTTTGGGAGCAGCTCCTGAAGGCTTTCAATGTGAGATAATTACAAGTAATTTGCTGCTGTGAAGAGGAAAGGGCACCGGGGTCTGGGGGGGAAAGGAGGTAGCCCCTCCGACCAAACATGCACAGATCTAGTGGGATTCCACTCTGCAATCTTAACTGCCTTCCCATTGGCCAAATTACTTGCAGGTGGGAAGAGGGAGAATGTGGTGGTGGGAGGGGGCTGGGAAGACACTGAGTGACAGGCCGCCCCTCCCCCACCCCCAAATCCTCTGTGCATGGTGGGAGCGGGCTGGGGAGCTGGTTGTTCCCGACAAAATGCCTGCACAGCCCTAGCAGCTGATTACTCAGCTCCAAACCTCATTGGAGCTTGGATGCCTGAACTTGCCTCTGGGATTGTATCCAGAGTCAATGGAATGTTATCCGGGTAGCTGAGGCCTGTGTAGACGGGGCCTCCTCGGAGATCAAGGACTAACCCCGAAACTTGTAAGGGCTGTGAATGTGGGTTGGGAGGGGAAAGGCCAGGGAACAGACACTGGCTTCCTGCTCTCACGGAGGCGATGATACACCCGCTCTCTCCCCTCCCGGATCTGGTGCTTTCTAGTTCTGCCTGACGTCTAAATCTCTCTCAACTCTTCCCATTATCCTGGTGGCAAATCTCCTCTCAGCTTTCTGTCCCCAGGGCCACTGAAGCCTCTTCTTCAGAAAAGTATCCTGCAGGTGTTGCTGGCCACCAGCTCTCCTGAGGTAACCCTTTCCCTGCCAGGGCTCTTGTGACCTGGGAGGAGGTAAAGGGGGAGACTGATGGTGCTGAGAGCCTCAGATGGCTGTGGGGACAGAGATGGGCATCAGGCCTCTGCAGAGGCCCTTTGAACCCAGCCCTCAAAGTAGCTGATTTTCAGGGGACTGGGGGTTCCCTTTACCTGTTCCAGGAGGTGAGTAATGTTTTAACAATTATGGTGGGAAAGAAAAAAGTCACCAACCCCAAAGTATTTCTGTTTTCGTCTTCCCTTCTGTCACTCTCCTTGCTTCTCCCATTCCAAGGAGAGGTGAAGAAGCGGGGCTTCTTCAGAACCAGGGAAAGGTTCTGTCAGGGAGTCCTTGGGCGACTGCTGTCTCTCCCCTCCCATGATAACAAAACTTAGAGAGGGAACAGTGGCCCCCTCTTCAGGCCTCTCCTTCCCCCATCCTGGCCAGCCCACACTGATTAAGGGGAGGGATGAAAGACCCTTCCACCCCAAACCTCAAAGTACAAAGGCCCCAGGCAAATGCGTGGAGGCAGGCAAATAGATGCAGGGACCAGGCACAGGGACACCGTAAATGCACACACGGACAGGCAGATGCACACTGGCATTTATGGAGCGGGCATGGCCGCACACAGAGACACGTGTGAGCATGTGTTCACGAAGCCTTCCTGTGGTCGTACATGGACATATGAAAGAAATACACACACAGGTTATATACTCACAGAGAGAGGCCCAACACAGAGGGATGAACGAAGGAGATACATGGGGGCTTAGACATATGCAGAAACAGGCTGGAACCACCCAGAAATGCACAGACCAGCCTCCCACGTGAGCGGGTGTGGGCAGGGAAAACCACGGGTCTCTCTCCTCTGTCTCTCGCTCTCTCCCCATCCCTTCTCTTCTCGTTCCTGACCCTTTTCCTTGCTCTCCAGCTCCTGTTTTCTGGGACTATATCCCTCGTGAGCAGTTGGGGAGGGAGACTGAATGGCCACAGAAACCAGAGGATTTTATTATGACTTTTTTTCTTCATTCCCGGAAGGCTTGCCTCCTTCTTTTCCTGAGTCCTAGCAAGAGATCCTAGCCCAGCTTCTTCTGGAACATCTCATCATTTCCAGAATGGCCGTGGATTCTTTCTCCTCACAGGAACCCAGAGCCTCTCCCCTCAGAGGTCCCCACTGACCCCTCTATTGCCCTGCCCCGACCAGAGGGCAGGAGGGGGACCTGGGATCACAGGGTGGTGGGAAAAGCACCACTCTGCTACTGCTCACTGTGTGACCTTGGACCAGTTACATACCTTCTCTGATGCTCAGATAATTTCTTTTGCCAAATCCTCTGTGTGTGTGTGTGTGTGTGTGTGTGTGTTGATGTGTGTCCACCACCACTTTCAACTCCAGGCTGGGGCTTTGCAAGGCAGAGCTTGTTTTCCATCAGGTTGGAGGCTCCCTGAATGTAGGGCTTTGCTTCCCCTGTTAGATTGGATGCATTTGCAGCTCTTGCCAACCCCACAGCTTGCTGGCTGTAAGGTACTCAGCCCCATCCTGGGTACTGTAAGGTACCCTCGCTGGCTGTAAGGTACTTGGCATCCTGGGGGATAGGTCCGGCCAGCCCAGAAAGGAGAAAGGAGTTGGCCCCGAGCCTCCTTCAGGCATCAAGCTTTCTGGTTCAGCATCTCACAGTGCCAGGCTTTCAGCCTCTCTGGTCCAAAAATGGGGAGATTACTTCATTACCAGGGGAGGGGTGCCATTCTCTGTGGAACTTATATGGTGTATATTCCCCTCAGCTTCATCTCCACCATCCCCATGCAGTTGAATTCTGGGTCAGA